GATTGGAAAATGCCGTTTGAGCGATGGAAATAGACAGATGCTAGAAGATTTGGATTTCACAGATGATGGTTCATGTATAATGTCACAAAAGCTGGAAGAAATCTGAAGGAAGTTGTCACTTCAACTAACCTGACTTCATACCTAGGCAGCATGGATTGAAATACAGGCGGCACAGACCAATATGAGGATGTCATAGCCAGCCAGCCAGCCAGCCAGCCAGCCAGCCAGCCAGCCAGCCAGCTAGCATCTGAAACACAGCAAGACAGACATTCCTTCATTAACCCGAAATCAGTGTGCAGATCTACTGCACTGCACTGCACTGCACTCAGCATAAAGTGGGAACAAGATCCAGATTTTCTACACTTATCTCAGAGTGAAATGTCAATGTGCTACTGAAGCTGTATGTTCCACTAGGAACCCAAGGTACAAAGAATAATAATCAGATTCTTAAAGTCAGTCATAAAGGAAGGCATGGCATGCAATGGCATTACTTAACTGATGACTCAAAGCTTTAAAACAAGCTAAATTCTTAGAGTAGTCAAGCAGTGATTACTTTTACATCATATCAGATAAGTGTAGTGAGTAACTTGTACAGCCTGTAAAAATTCCAGAGGTAAAATCCAATATTTCGTTCTACAAGAAACCTTACATTAGGAAATGGTTGTGAGAAATTTAGGAAACATTTTTATTGCACATCATTTCCTCTTTTTGACTGACTCAAAACTTCTTCTACCTTATCTGAATTTTTTTTTCTGTTTATTTTCTAAGCTACTGTCAATCTCTTAGAGTCTTCTCAACTTTTGTCTGAAAATGATCATATAACTGCTCACTATCATAACATTGGTTTGTCAAACAAATTTTGTTGTTTCAATCCCTAAGGGAGTAAAATTAGTAATCATTGAATTATGGCCATCTCATTTAGGAAATTCTTCTTTTGGTAGATTAACCTTTAAGTGGTTAGGGTTTGAATTTGAATGCAAACTATTATCACGAAAACACTAAAATCAAGTTGAAGCAGTAGACCAGTAGCTCGAAGATTTTTGATTTAGATATCTTTACTACTCAAATGTTTTGCTTTCAAATTATTGCTATTCTCAGCTGACACTGAGATCAACCTGTTACTTTATGATAATTCTAGACAGTTGAATCACATTATTGTCATCCTTTCTGCTTTTTATCATCTGTTATATGACACAAACTCATATTTTTCTTTCTCTGTGGATACCATTCGTTGGCATTAAATACACTAGTGTATCCGCGTGTTGGCTCCTTGTTATATGAATAATTTTCATATGAAATATATGTACATATTCGTAGATAGGGAAATAAATTTCTGATTTTATTGTAAACTGAGCTAAAGTTGTTGGTTAAAAGTGATGACTGATACTGTGCGACAAACTAGTATCCATGGCATGAGGTTCAGCAATATCATCAAATTACTACAATTACACTGAATGTGGGAATTAGGGAATAAAAAGGCATAGTGATATATGCGATTGTTTATTTGTAGTCTTTTCTAATAAATCAGTTTACCGGGATTCTGGTGAAGTGGTAGATGAATTCTACCAAAACGTGTTCAACCTCCCACTAAAAGCCAAACTTCCAGATGTGGCAGTCATAACAAAAAACTTTATTGACCAAGAAGCAAGGTCAAACTAAGCAGAAAAACAATTGGGTATACTTTATGGATCTCAGCTAGATAAACAGATAGTACTGATGACCTCTTACAACTGTGTTCGGACAAATACCTATTTCTAGACCTCATGAAATTCAGATAGAGAGAGATATTGTCTGTTATGGTCTCCACCAACCTCAAATGGATAACTAACATCGATGGACTTTATTTGTCATCAGTTGTAACTGAAGTCTAGAAGACGGTTGACATTGCTTCCGTAACATGTCTCCTAAAAGTCATTATGCTTAAGTATACACTCTAATAAACATATGAAAACTGAAAATGGAAGATGTTTTCAAGTTCAATCTGACAATGAGGATGAAAAGGCTTCGTTCAAATGAGAACTGGACAGAAAGTCGTCGGAGCAGGATAATGTTGTTCATTCTAAAGCAGCCTGACACCATCTTCAGTGTGGTGTGAAAACAGTGTTGAAGACCGTAATTGACTCATCAGGAATATGCAATAGGACTAGTGGGTCACAACGATCTAGATTGAAATAATGCCGCCTCCAACTCAAAGTGGTGCATAAGCAGCTAAAATGTAAACTGCCTAAAAGCTAACACAACGACAATGATCACTAGCAGGAAACGAATGCTAAGGAGTTCAAAAACGTAGTGGCCATAGATAATGGTAGACAGCTTTCTAGAATTATAAAGGTAACTGATGCAAGAAGGTTTTTGATTACCGAAACTACAGTAGAGAAAGTGGAGAGTTTGTGATTCGCTCACAGGATAGACATCTCAAATGATAGGTGAAACAACTTTAAGAACATTTTATTTTGTCCTCCGGTTATTCTTCAGCTGCCGAATGTCTGTTAGTTACGTCAAAAGTGGAAAGTCAGCATTGATGGGCCTGCACCAGCAATGTTCATGGATATTGGTAGATTATTTGTTATCTACAGTTTTGGAACCAGGTATAATGCCTTCTGTCTGCTTTCAATCACTGATTTTCACAATCTTCATACAAGAAGAAGAATTTTCTTGTAATAGTCATTGAGGAATCAGACCTCAATATAATGTCTATGATTAAAGGTTATGTTATCATCATGAAGCACAAGAACAGGAAAACTGAGAAAGCCAGGTAGACTTAAGATCTTTACATGGGTGTACTGAGCAGGCCTTCACTCTTTGACAGATTCGAAAACACAGGTATGCCTACAAGTACCAAACACTAGTTGTATTCCTTAACCTGATCAATGAGTTCAACGGTGGGGTTCTCCAACTATCATTTGTGCCGAGAAAGTACACTACACAACTAAAGGCTTAAGATTAAGGTATCTGTCACTGTGTTAGAACTTATGATAAGATATCGAGTCAAGATGATCCACTTTACACATTTTTATATACCTTTGTCATAGACCTGCTGATAGATATCTGCCTTTCCACAACTGTTTTCATAGGCTAGTCCTGATGTGTTGACAGAAGAGGCAGCGAAAACAGGACTTCAAGTGAATGTAGAGAAGACGGAGGTGACGAAGATACCCAACCAACAACAGCATCAACAACAAACACCAATCACCATCAACAGGAGAAACCTAAAGCGGGTAGTCTGTGTAACCTACCCAGGCCGCATTGTTTCAATTACAGGCGGCACACACGAGTATGTCAAAATCGGGATCAGAAAGCCAGCAAGACAGGCTTTTATTAATCTGAAATTAGTGTGGAGATCAACTGCACTCAGCATAAAGTGTGAACAAGATCCGGATCCTCAACACCTATGTCAAGTCAGTGCTGCCAGATGGTTCGGAAACTTGGCGTGTCACGAAAAGCATTTCCAATAAACCACTAACATTCATCAACAGCTGCCTACGCTGGCTCGATACTGAAGCTCAGATGAGATGGTCACAATAATAAGAATGGGAAACAAGGAACTGTGGCTGGCTGACTGACTGGCGACGAACCAACGAAGCAAGAACCTATCACCCAACAAATATGCAGAAGAGGAAAGTGGAGATGGATTGGATTGGGCATACACTAAGAAGGCCAGTTGGGGACATCACGCGCCAGGCCAGACCAGGCCGTCGAGTGGAATCCAAAGAAGGAAATGAAAAGTTGTTTGTCGGAGGCGAGGGTGACATGGAGTAGATGATGTGAGGAAGAAATGAAAGGTTGTGGGCAGTCGTGGCGCCAGATTGAAAAGACTGAAGAGAATAGAGTGCAATGGAGGCGTGTTACTGAAGCCCCATGTTCTTCTAGGAACCCAAGGGAAAAATAATAATAGTATAGTAGTCCTGATATGGAAAACTCGTGGTTGGATTTATAATGCTCAGATAATATATGTTTATTTGGTAAGGACTCTGATAAGATGCAGTGTCCTTCGGACACGTTGATTGGCTGTTTCAGAATGCCGGTAATGTACTTCTCACCTTCTAAAAGCGAGTTGTTGCTTGAGGACTGGTCAGCGTTAATACCGTGTTTGACAACAGGAAAGGAGTTAGCCAAGCGCTGTGATGACCTCATCCACTTGGGAAGTTAGATCACCTCTGTTGTATCAGTAATCGAAAAAATCTTGAAACAGACTGAAAAGCCTGACTGACTTTCACCTTCTCATACGACCGACAGTGTTATCAAAGTATATGATTGTCCTCTAAGAGTCGAGTGTATCACGCAACAACTTACTGTTTTATACTATATGGCTGTGAAATACTACCAATGTAGGCAGATGATAAGTTAAGACTCAAGGTATTCATCTACCACACTGTCTTGATGAAACTGTTGGTGAACTGATGTGGAGATTAGTTATGGAGTCTAAGGCAGGACATGTCCTATCCATGCCTATTCGTTATTCACCCTGTGGTGAAATGTTAATTGAATTATCGCTGTATCAAGGAAAGGTTCAGTATCGCCAAAACAGAAAGTGACATCAATTCAGGCAGTCTCTAACTCTTTGCCTCAACCTTGTAAAGAAATGCAGATTTTCTAGTTGGAATCCATGAGACAGTAGACACCTGTGGGTAGAGATACAAATAGAGTCACTATCGCTGATGCTGATACACATATCTTACCTTCAAGTTAACCATCTAGAACACCTTACTTGCCGTCATCTCTTTCCTCCTTTCCTTGAAGATATCAGTTTGGTAAAAGAAATTATCATTTTTCAGAAAAGCAATAAAAATAAAGTATATATTTTTGGTTAAACATAAGCAAACGGCTGCCATGTTTAATATTTATAGAAGATCAGTTCAATAAATTTGAAATGAAATCACACCAAATGAATACACCTAAGCATAAACAAGAATACATTATTTCAAAGTAAAAACATAGAAAAGAGAATAATATGTATACACAAATTGCTGCATGTAAACATCATCTAATTCGTCTACCAATCAAATTCCGAGTATAAGTAGACCGATAGCCGCTACTCCAATGGAAAACTTTTCAACGGATTTGAGTGGGAATCGTTGCTTCTCCAAACGGAAAATCAAAATGAAGAATTAAATCATGTTACTCAGTAATCAAAAGGAAGTCACCTAGATTTATAATCGATAATTTTTCTCAATTTCATGCTATCATTCAGACAAAAACTGAACAGTTGTGTCAATCATCGCCCAGTTAGTATCAATCAATAATGAGAACCACTGTACAAAATGCAGTACAAGACAATCAGTCAACTGTTTGGTACATTCTCGCTAATCGAAAGGTGATAATGGGAGGCTGTAACCTATAAAGCCAGTCATATGGAGTGAGAGGATGGCGGTTTGCCGATAAACCTGAATATTTGTTGCATTATATCATCAATTGGTAGAGTTGTAGAACTTGAATACTAGAATACAATACAGTGGTTGAATGATAATAGTGTTAATATCAAACCAAACCATGTTGAAATCAATTCCACATGAATTTTTAATCACAAAAAACTATCTGAATAAAATAGCATATCTACTACATAGGAATTCATAGTCAATATACTAATATCTTCAACCTCGCCTGGTTACCTACTTCACTGGTTACTAGCCGGTTCTAAGCCCAGGTAAAGACGGAAGGTTGGGCACACGCCTAGCAACCCTACCCCGTAAAACAAATCCAACCTCTAAAGAAAATTCAAAGCACAAACGATATATAAAAAATAATAACAATATTATTCCTCACTGGAATCAGAGAGGCGAAATGATGCCAGTTGGTGAAAGCCTGCCTTCAGGAAGCCAGTCGGCCGATGTGTCTGCTCTCCCCCGATGAAAGCGAAAGTAAGGATGGGGACATGCAATGTCCACACGATGTTCGAACCCAACAAGGCAGCCCAGATTGCAAACGAGATGAAGAGGTATCTCAATGAACTGTTAGGAATTTGCGACAGTAGATGGAATGGGAGTGGACTCTCCAAACTGTCAACTGGAGAGAAGTCAATAATCCACTCTGATATTGTCACACAGACGACAACCACGAGAACACTGAGTTATGCAGTGGCTATCATGATGTCCCCAACAGCATCGAAGGCTCTCTCTCATGCAGTGGGAACCAATCTCCTCCAGCATCACGATCATCACAGCAAGGTTCAACTCAAAAGGAAGGAAGGTCACAATCATACAATGTTACACTTTGCACCTACAAATAATGCAGAGCAAGAGAAAAGGAGTAATTCTACAGACAACTTCAATCAACACTGGACAAGACACCACCTCAGTTGGCGATATCAAAATTCTAATGGGTGGAGTGACATGAATGCCAGCCAAACTGTGAGGGGACAACACAGGAGGAGAACAAACCATGTGTCGAGAAGCTCTCGATGAGTTGATGAACGAGAATGGAGAATTGTTTGCAGAATTCTGAGCATTCAAAGATTTGATGATTGGAGTCAGGCAGTGTGTTCAAGCACAAGGATATCCACAAAGAGACATGGATTCCACCAGACACCAGGACACACTAAAAATCAGATCGACTTCATCTCAATGTGAAGAAAGTGGAGATGCAGTCAGCCTACTTGACACAAGGTCACATCAAGAAGGGGAGTAGATGTAGGTATAGACCACTCACCGTTTAGTGCAAGGAACCTTCCAAATCAAATTGAAAGCCTTCAAGGAAGCTGGTGATAGACCACAGTTTCCACTTCAACACTCGGAAACTGAAGGATGAAACTATGAAGAAAATCTTCACAACAGTCAGCCATCAAGACAAAATGAGGGATATCGAACAACATCCCTGAAGAAACCAGTGTGGATGAACACTGGAAGTCTTTGAAAGAGGGAACATGCTCAACCGTATTAGGATGGAAGAAGAGAGAAGATAAGGAATGGAATGGATCTCGATGGACACATGGAAGCTGATAGAGCAGGGAGAGGAGGATGGTGATGCAGAAGATGAACCAGTGCAGTGCGAGGATGCACAACGAGAAGGGGATCTGAGTACAATGTATAAAACACTGGACAAGAAGAAGAGTGAAGAAGAGTGCACGGAAAGACAAAAGACAATTCTACGACAAGTGAATGGCAAGTGAAACAGAACAGGCTGAGAGCTGGTAGGAGAGACCTGACAACGTTGTATCAAATAACCAGGTTACTTACTATCTGGGAGGGAATAGATCAACACACATGAAACCAATAAAAGATGATGATGGGAATTTAATTACGAAAGAAGAGGAACGAAAGAAACAAAGGGCTGACGACTTCAAAAAAGCTCTTGAATCGACCACCACCTGCACTTCGTCCAGAAATGCCACCTGCAGCCACAGAATTACAGGTGAACATGAATCCTCCAACAAAAGTGAAAGTCCTGAGCTCCATAAAGCTAGTAAAATATGATGAAGCAGCAGGACCAGATGGAATCCCGTCAGGAGCACTGGGAGCATACGCAGAGACAACGGCGGATATGCTCACACCATTATCACACAAGGTCTGGAAGGAAGTAAAGGTACCTGGTCATTGACTGGAAGAAGGGTTACCTTGTGATGCATTTCCAGATGACACTTGATGGATGAAGTTTGTGTTTTAGATAGACAAAATGAGTTCCTGAAGTTCAACATAAGGCCCACTGAATCTAAAATGAAATTCACCAATTTCTTCTATAATATGAAGTGTTCCTTTTACTTACATACTTCAGTACTAATTATCTCTCGGCAGTCAACCGTCTACCTCAACTTCATCCACTTTGAAAAGGCCTTCGACAGCATCGACCAACAAGTAATTTGGCAGGCAGTTGCTTCAACACTACGCAATACCACAAACATTTTTCAGCCTCATTCAACAACAACAACAACATGAAGACACCACATGCCAAGCAATTCACAATGCAAAGCTCAGTGATGCTTTCGAAGTGAAGACAGGAGACAGGAGTGAGACAAGGCTGCCTACCATCACCCATGATATTCCTGATTGTGGTCGACTGCATTGGACTGGATCATGCAACAAACAGTGAGGAGCTGTGAGAAGAAGTGGGGGGGGGAGTGGGGGTGGGGGAGGGGAGGGGATACAATAGCTGGACGACGGAAAAGAACCTAGATGATTTGGATTTCGTCGATGACTTGTGTCTGATGTCACACAAACTTGGAGATCTGCAAGCGAAAACTAACAAGTTGGCAGAAGAGGCAGAGCAGCAAAGATAAGACTTCAAGTGAACGTAGAGAAGATGGAAGTGATGAGGATACCTAATCAACACCAACAACAACAACAAACTCCAATCACCATCAACGGGAGAAACTTAAAGGAATTAGTCTCCTTCACCCATCTAGTCAGCACTGTTTCAACTACAGGTGGCACATGCACAGATGAGGATGTCAGAGACAGCCAGGATCGGAAAGACAGCAAGAGAGAGGTTGATTAGCTTGAAACCAATGTGGAGATCTACTGCTTTGCAATCAATATGAAGAACAATATCCCGGGTTTCAACGCTTAGCTCAGTCAAGTCAATGCTTCTGTTTGGTTCAGAGACTTGGCGTTTCGAAAGGCATTTCTAACAAACTACAGACATTGATGAACAACTGCGTAGACTGGCTCGATACTGAAGATCAGATGGCCATAAAAAAATGGGAAACTAGAAACTCTGGCTGCCAACCAACCAAACAACCAAGAACCCATCACCCAACAAATATGCACTGGAAGGAAGTGGGGATGGATTGGATTGGATTGGATTGGACGTTGATTGAGAAGACTGTTTGGGGACATCACTTGTCAGGCCAGGCCTTCGAGTTGAAGCCAGTTAGGAAAGGACGAGTTGTGTGTTCGTGGTGAGGGTGACAAGGAGGAGATTGTGTGTGAGTAAGGAATGAAAGTTTGTGGATAGTCGTGGAGCCAGGTTAAGAAAGAATACTGTAGAGAAGAGAGTGAAATGGCGATGTGCTATTGAAGCCGTATGTTCCACTACAGACTCAAGGTACAAATAATAGTATTAAAAATGATAATAACGGTAACGCCTTGCGCTAATGACGTACGAATGACACCTAATGAGTGGTTTGTGGCGACTGCATACAATTGTGTATAAACCACTTAAACTATAAGCAATATTTCCTTTTCATCGTTTCTTTTACACATTCTGCACATTATTCCTAATACTTGTAAAAACGAATGTTGTTTATATACACACTTTTTTGGTTGTGGCGGTAATTGCATCTTTTGCTGCTGCTAATCATGGAAATATAATGTGCTTCTAACCATTCCGACTTCTGCCTCCTTGACTATTGCCTGTCGTGCATAATAACTGATTATCTTGGGAATTTAAAGGATTTCTCATCCTACTTCCAAATATTACGACAATCAAGCCGACCGACGACCACAGCGGGGAGGCAACAAATATCGCCTTCTCATCTCTGGAGTATCCTAAAATTGTGGTGGACAATACCGAAGAAATAACCTCCAAGTAACCAGTCATTATCTATAACATTGACAATACTATTTTGTGCTATCACGTATAACTTTTCACAAACGTGTATCATAAAATCAATTTTTTTTGTTAAATATACGTAGTTTGTCATTCTGGTTTACTTGACATTCTTTGGGTCCACTACAGGTTGTTGTCTGTTGTAATGTATTTTACTTGCAGTATAACTCAAAACTGTGTCAAAATATTCTTTCGAACAGCTTATATCATCATTTTATTATTAAAATTATTTGTACCATGAGTCTGTAGTGGAACATACGGCTTCAATAGCACATCGCCATTTCACTCTCTTCTCTACAGTATTCTTTCTTAACCTGGCTCCACGACTATCCACAAACTTTCATTCCTTACTCACACACAATCTCCTCCTTGTCACCCTCACCACGAACACACAACTCGTCCTTTCCTAACTGGCTTCAACTCGAAGGCCTGGCCTGACAAGTGATGTCCCCAAACAGTCTTCTCAATCAACGTCCAATCCAATCCAATCCAATCCATCCCCACTTCCTTCCAGTGCATATTTGTTGGGTGATGGGTTCTTGGTTGTTTGGTTGGTTGGCAGCCAGCCAGCCACAGTTCCTTGACGCTTATTCTCATTATT